GTATTTCAGTCAATCAGCCTGTTCTGTTCCCCACTCTATCTCTGGTGAATCTTCTCACCCACCACACTTTCTGGCCTGTACCCCAGTTCTTGTATGTATAAAGAAATAAATCTTTAACAAAAAAAAACTACAAATGAGGAGTGACTGAGATTTTCCACTATGCATCCCTATAGCAGCAAGACCAAGTTTATGCTTTCTCCACTCCCACACACAATTAAAACTCCACTTCCCCTTGTAGATGACCATTTGCTTTTCCTTATCTTTAAGACTTTAGTCCAAGCCACCATTATCTCTTTCCTAGATTCCTGTAAGTCTGGCTTCCAACTTTGACATCTTTTTACCACGCAGGAGCCATGTGAGATCTTTCTATAAAGAAATCTTCAGTTTCCTAAGGGCTTCTCAATGACCAGACCCTGCCTGCCTTGGCAAGGCAAGTCTCCTTTGGGTTACAGACTCTCACTGATCACTCCTCTGTTGCTGCCACTCTTTCACCTATTGATGGCTGACTGCGTCTCTTCTTCAGGCTTATGTATCTCTTGGAGAGGTTTTCTTGATACACTGCAAATTTTCTATTACTGTGCTGGATATATTACCTTCAGAACCCTAATCACAAACCATAATTATAGGATTATCTTTTTACATGCTAGGCTCTCTGTACCCTCTCAGACTGTAAATCCTGTGAGTAAAGAAATCATATGCAGTACCTAGCATGTAACTTAAAAGGTTATTCTTTCATTGGAATTCCGCAAGTGTGTTTAATGTATCACTATATTATTTACTTAACCAGGGAAGATGGCTGTATTTTTTAAATTACCTACTATAAAAGTAATAAAAATGCAGAATCATGCTTTTAAAACCCATAAAGCAAACTACACCCTTTATAGATTACTGTTAAATAGTATGATATATTTTCTTTTAGTCATTTATACACACACATATTTTACTTTTATAATATTAAAATCACACTTATATACAACTTTGTATCCTATTTTTTCACTGAAATACCATGCTTTTATGTCATATATATTGGTTGCATTACAGCCTGCCATACGGATCTAGTAATTCACTTAATTATTCTTCCAATGTTGGAAATTTATATATTTCTATTATGAAGATACAAATAATGAGGATATAACGCCGTTGGGGGTTGATTCCTTCCTCCACAAAGTTTCCTATCTTCCAAGAGCTACTCGAGTTCTCATCCTCTGCTTGGAGAGTGGGGGGAAGGCAAGGCAGGTTGGGAAATGGTCACCCTATATGTTGGTTCCTTTATATCCAGTCTTTTCCCAGGTCAACCTCCCCAAGTCAGGTTAATAAAATAGCTGCCAACTAACTGGTAGATTCCTGGAATTGCTGCCACTGTCCTGGAAGTCCCAGCCAACTGTGGGAGCCAGAAGAATCACAGTCACTACTTCAATTGGGTGGACAACTCCAACCAGCGGTTGCCAAACCATAGACAGTCCAGGAAGGGTTCAGACACACACAGTGAGCCTCAGAAAACCTAAATGGCAAACTGCACACATGTTGTCAACAACTTCCCTCCCCAAAATAACTCACATTATCACAACTCTTGGATCCCAATTTTTGCATTTCTCCTGGTTTTGACTGTATATGTACTTACAGTATGGTCTTCCAAAATGCTGCTATTTTGAATGGGAAGGTTCTGGATGACACTACAGAAAATTGAGTAGAATTGTCCTACTTCTTGTTCTAATCTCAAAGCAATAAAAATCATAAGAGTTTCCATCAGCAAAATCATGGAAGTTACTGAATCCCTCTTCTCAAAGAAGACTAATGGGAACAATTCAGTTGAAGTATTTTTTATGAAAGGATAATAAAATTTAAAAATCAGAGCATCTATCCTACTTTAATATCCATTCCTGGTGTTACATACCTTAGCCAGCAAAATACTTTGACCATACTTTTCAAGGATTGCAAATAAGTTGATTACCGTAAAAGAATAGTAAAAAAGCAACAATAACAATAAACAGGCACTGAGCAGTATCAGAAATTTTTCAATCTTCCCAACATTTCCTTCCTTCTTACTGAACTTGGCTGCTGAGAGTTCCTTGCAGTTGTGATGGCCTTGACATCTGAATGAACTGCCCAACAGGCCAAATGCTGTGTCCTTCTTGCCTGACATGACCTATGCCCATCCCAATATAGAACTTCCTCATTCTTTCTCTAGTCCTGTTTATCATCAAAAATGTATTTTTCTGATACAGAAACAAAAAAAAATTTCAATAAAGGAAGCTCACTTAAATAAAAGACTTGTTGAATGCTGGTGGTTGCGTTCTTCAATTCTCAGAATAGATGCAGCCTGAATAAGCTAGATGCTCAATTAAGGACATATTCATTATTTCATTATCACACAAACTCCAAAGGAAAACTGATTAAATTACTAGGTTGCAAAACCACGTATATTGAATCCTCAAGTTTAAATGTCACATTAATCTAACCTAAAAGTATTTCTGCATTGAACCCTACACAAACGTTTCCTGGATGTGGAATCTTTATGTATAACTTTTTTGTGAGAGACACAAATTTCCTTTCCACTATTCACCAAAAATTTGCCATAGATGCTATGGGAAAGGAAGTATGTTAGGTTCATTGGGATAATAAAGAATGACTACAATATAGACCCTGCAGTCAAAGAGTTTATTGTCTCCCAACAACTAAAGACATTTCAATTTCACTAGATCTCAGAAGTCTTATGTATATAACTTAAGAACTAGTTTAAGTACTTTCTAAGGTCATTTCTGTGACTCTAGTACTCCTGCATTATACAATCCAATACAGAGTACAAAGCTGTTGTGAAAAGTCATTGACAAAATTATTTAATGTCTATCCATGAACAACATTAAGTTAAATGCAATTCAAAGCAAAGTAAAGCACTAAAAATTCTGTCCCTTAACATACTGTATTATACACTTAAAAGCTGATATAGTGAGGGTAGATTTTAAAAGTTACCAACACAGGGCCTCCCTGGTGGCGCAAGGGATTAAGTCACAGCACCATGAGTTTGATCCCCAGCCAGGGAGCTTACCCATATGGCACAGCAGACCTCTCCTGACTCGCCCACTGCTCCCCTTGGCTGTGTATTTCAGTAGATCCACCTGTTCTGCTCCCCACTCAGTCCCTGATGAATCCTCTCACTCCCCCGCCCCACCTCTGGCCTACAACCCAGTTCTTGTATGCATAAACAAACAAATCTTTTTTTAAAAAGTTACAAACACACAAACACATACACACACAGGAATGTTAACTGTGTGAGTGGGTAGAGGCATTAATTAACCTTATTGTGGTAATCACTATACAATATACTTGTGCATCAAATCACATTGTACACCTTAAACTTTTACAATGTTGTATGTCAATTGTATTTAATAAAACTGGAAAAAATTCTGACTTTTAAAAACTACAAGTTTCCTGATTACTATCTGAAAATATCATGTGAATTTTCATCTCCATGCGTGTGCCCCTGTCTGCTCCCTAGAGGGAGGACACCACGTACTATACTATACTGGGCTCCCCTTATAGAGAGGACACTGCCATACTATATGACACCTTACAAGGCAGCACCCACAGGTATCCATTTCCCCTTCCTAAAGAGTCATTCAGTACTTTATCATCACTAAATTCAGTTTTTAAGCATTCACATCAAGTCCATTGTCTTGCATTATTAATGTACAGTTAAAAATAACAGAGCTGTTAGGGAATAAAGTGATATGGAACCACATAGGTGGATGGATTAATTTGAAAGAGATGGTATTTGAGCACAACTGTTTGCAAAGGTAGGTAGGACCTGGTAAAGAGGTTTATGTGAAATAATGATGAGAGGCAATTGACGATGAGTCTAAGTTTTCAAGACTGGTTCAATGAAAATTTGCTAAACAAATAAACTACCTGGGGTAAATGAGTAATGTGTAGGTCATGCCAAGATCACTCAATGTGAAGCAACATGTGGGATGGAGGAAGATGTTGAACTAGATTTTTGGGCACTTTAAAGGTCCCTGCAGATAACTGACATACCGATGTCCACCCAGGCATTTCTCTGAGGATAGGGGAGAGTTTAGGTGTCATCTGCAAGTATTCTACATTTTATCTTATGTGTAAATAGTGTTGTATGACTTACAATGTGCTCACAGACAATGCCACTGAGAGGTTGATTTTGATTCTAACAAACACCCTATGGGGGCAGAAAGGGCATATTTTGTCAGGCTCAGAAGAGTCCCTAAAGTGACACTGTTGTCTGACTAGTTCTATTGTTAACGTGAAGAACCTGAAATTCAAGAGCAGTTAACTGCTTTGCTCAATTAACCACTGCACCACACGACCCATCAGGAATCCAGAGTCCTGTTCGGGGCGCAGGATCCTAGTGGTAATCACAGCGGTTGCCCGTGTCTTAGGTGGGAGTTTCCCTGCCAGATCAGACAGTGGGACGGTCCCCAAATCCAAGGGGATTAAAGGCCCAAAGGAATTAAAAAGTTGATTTCATGGTCAGCCAGGGAGCCAGTCAACGACGTGTCCAGATCCTTCCCCTCCACACTAGGGAAGCCCAGGTGTCCATGTGGCCTTTCAGCTCTAACTCTTCCCAGCAGTAAGAGGAGATCCCCACAGCCTCCTTCCCTGTCTGCCCACGGCTTCTGGGGGGCTCTCTTCCCCAACCTCCCCACTCTCATTTCCTTTTTCACCCCCGGGAGGGAGCAGAAGGGGATGTGCTGGAGGAGTCTCCACACTCCCCCGCGCCACACAACCACTCCTGGGCTTTATCAGACGGCCCCGAGCGGTCCCCCAGACCCCGCAGGCTCTCGGGGGGCTGCCTTACCGCTAGGAAGACAGAGCAGGAGCCAGAGCGCAGGGCGCAGCTTAACGGTCCCGCTGCCGCGCCCCGCCTGGTGGCGCGGCCGCTGTCGCCCGCCCCCTGCGTCATGACGCCAGCGCCCAACGCGGAAGCCGCTCGCGCGCGCCTGGTCCAGCCGCCGGCTGAGCGCCGAGAGGCGGCAGGCGCGGGAGCCCGGCAGGCGCGCGAGCCAGCGCAGCCTCCTTGGAGATCCCGGCCGCCGCGCGGGTCCAGCGGCCAGACAGGGGCCGGGCGCGCGGCTGGGTGGAACGGGACACAGCGCTCCGGGGCCGCCACGGGTGGGGGGATGCGGCTGCCTCCCCGGGCCAGCGTGTAGAGAGGGCGGGTCCCCGGCCTCGGGAGCTCGGTGGTGCAGGGGACTGAGGCGGCGGCCATGGCGACCCCCGGCAACCTGGGGTCCTCCGTCTTAGCGAGCAAGACCAAGACCAAGAAGAAGCACTTCGTAGCGCAGAAAGTGAAGCTCTTTCGGGCCAGCGATCCGCTGCTCAGCGTCCTGATGTGGGGGGTAAACCACTCGGTAAGGGCTCGGGCTGCAGCGCGCAGTCCTTTTCCTCCTCCTCCTCCTCCTGCTGCTCTTCCTCCCTGTTCCCGTCCTCCTGCTGCGCTGCTGTGGGGCTAGGAGCCCAAGAGGAATCCTGGATCTCGGCTGCACTCCCTAAGGAACTGCCCGCCCGCTACTGTGCCCCGGTGCTCCATCCCGGAGGGGCACACTCGCCCCCCGGGCCACCCAGGAGCTACTTAGACCCCTCTGGACCTTGTGCTGGATGAAGGGGTCCCATCCGCATTTGGGCCCCATCCGCAGTTGGGCCCTGCGGCCAGTGCCTGTGCACCCACCCCTACCCCTTTTTCCTCTCCGCCCGCCTCAGTTCTGTTCCCACAACCCGGGAACTGGAAGTTTGTGTGGTGCCCGGCTTCATCTGGGCTGTCAGCCTTGGTGGGGGCTCTGGGACCAGAATCCTGGTGATCTCTCCCTTCTTTTGAGGCGACTGGGATGGCCCGGTTCCCGCCGGCCAGCAGGTGTACCTGTCTGAGACTAGGATCATCAGGAGTCTCCCCGCTGAACAGGGAATACTGGAGATGTGAAAGATTTGGTCCGCGGCTTTAGTGCTTAGGTCCTTTTTTTTTTTTTTCCCCTCTAAAGGCGAAATTATTGGACACAAGGCTTCTTTTTTGGCAAGGAAAAAAGTCTGAAAATATGGCAGTAGCGCTTAGCATCTTCCTCTGCTTGGCTCGCGCAACGCCCTGCCACTGTGGAGGCTGAAGAGCTGTTGGCGGGGAGTCTTCTTCCCCACCTCGCCTCCCCCACCTTGGGGAACCAGGCCAAAGTCCAACTGCGGAAGGGCAGGCAGAGAGGGGGGAGGGTGAGATGACAGCAGGAGGGGGTCTCTGGTGGAAGGAAGTCTTGAGTTGACTGCACTGGATTGCGGATTTGTTTAAAAGGCTAGAGGAGAAGGTTTGGAAAGGTTAGGTTAACACTCAGCCAGAGGTAGTGAAGATGCGCCGCTGCGGGCAATGCGGACTGCGGTTTGAGGGTCTGAAATAGCCTCCTGCTGATCTTACAGCAAGAAACTCCTGCAGTTTTAATCTCCTTAGGATCAGGAAACATGATCGGAGCTGTTGGCTGAGCCATGAAAGTTTTAAATGAGTCTGAATGTTGACCATGACCTTACCCTCTGCAGTCAGTTTAGCATCTGAGGAAAAGTGTAAGCTTGCTTTCCATATTTTTGATTTCGATGAATGCCTGTTTGCCCTTTTTGGCATGAGAGAAATGACAAAAATCATGTAGTTTTAAAGAACACTCAGTATAATGAAGTTGTTTAAAATGGTCCCAAAGCATCGTATTTGTATTTTTCTTTCCCAGGCTCAACTGGGGAAAAGGTAAAACAGTATCAGGATTGATTGTGTTTGCTTGGAGTTACTGCTTTAAGAAAGCTGGGAAATGATTATTTCTGTCAGCCTAATACTTGATCCGCTGAAGTTTATTTGAACTTCCAGACAACTTCTTTAAAAGTTCACATTCCTAATTACTAACAGCATACATGGCTGCACCAAAAGCCTCCTAGTTTTATTACACAAGTAAAATAAATTTTTCCTATGTAATAAATCAACAGAATTAGACATAACTCTAAATTGTAAAGTTTTCTTCTTTAAAAAATATCTATGTTCCTTGCTCTTTTAAAAAATGTTGCTAATTGCTCATTGTTGAGTGCTTTTATCTCCCCTGGAGTTCTGGTGTTTTGGTCTGGAGAGAGTTTGTATCTGAGGGTTTACTCTAGTGAAGTGTCACCACTGTGCTGCTGAAAGAGTGTGTGTGTTCTCTGGGAACTAATCTGAATTCCAGTTTACATTAGAAAATCCAGTGATTATGCATGTTTTACTGTAGCCACTTATGATGCTACCTTAAATTTATGAATTGCTGCATTTGTTTTGAAGTTTCTTGCTAATTGGAAATAATTTGAAACTATTCAGGCTTATAAATGATTTGTAGATAAGACATCTTGTGTTATTTTCATTTGCTTTCAAGAAAAGTTAACAATTCTTAGTCATCCAGAGTAGTCAAGTTTTCATAGTCTGTAACAGCCATGTTGTTCATTCAACAACTATGTATTGGGTACATAGTGCCAGCCACTATGCAAAGACTGCTAAAAACACCCCTTATTTTATCCAGATATCTTTATTTTGAGGACTATGAGAAGACTAAGGAAGATCCATTTCAGTCTTTTCCCAAAAGTGTCTGTTATCTTTATTATTTTTGAAAAAAAAATATTTATGTAATGATGAAACCTGAGCATTTAGATGCCATATATAATATTTGTGGTTGATCTCACTTTAGGTGACAAAGTCTAATATTAGAAAAATATTTACATATGACCTTGTATGCTCTAGAGTCTATAGTTTGAGAGTAAATATGTCAGCCATACTAAAATGGAGCAAGCCTACTGTATATGAATGGGGACATTTGAGAAAGCACAAAAGAAAAGAAACAGATCTTTATAAAGAGGAGCCTTTATAAGTGGCATCTTTCCCTATATTTCATGGAAAGATTTGTCATGAATATAGCAATCTCATCCTTTTAAATTTCATTTAGGTTTGTCTTAAGATCCATTAGAAATAGCCATGCATTTGGAGTACTGAAGGGAACTGCATGTTTGTCACTGAGGCATCTTTAAGGGGTTGGGAATCTTCTACATACCAAGGTTAAAGCTCACTGGATCTGTATTTCTATCGTTTCTCTCGTTCTGTTGGCCTCGGCTTGTTAACTATATAGTTTTTGCATTACTGTTTGCATCTATAAAGCAAGCTGGCTGGACTGGATGATTGCCAAGTTTTTTTTTTACTAACTTCCAGATTCAGGACTATTTTTACAGCCTCTTAGGTTCTTAGTATTATATAGGATCCATAGACCGTGGATAGTAATAGTATACAGTCAACCCTTTGCATCCTCAAGTTCAACATCCTCAGTTTCAGCCAACCAAAGATCAAAAGCCAGTATTAAGTACATTCAGTACAGAACAACCAATCATAGATCTAACTACAGACTTTCTTCCTGTTACTCCCTAAACAGTATGGTATAACAGTTGTTTGCTTAGTACTTGCATTGGTGTTCTGTATTATAAGTATTCTAGAGATGATTTCAAGTATAGGAAGGATTGCCTGGGCTATATGCAAATACCACTCCATTTTATATGAGGGACTTGAGCACAGGGGTTTTGGAATCTTGAAAATGTGGCAGTATTCAAGAGAATCTTCAAGACCTTTACTAAAGGGAGGGACCCTGGCCATTGTAAGAAATAGGAGAACTCAGAGTTTGTTGGATTGGATTGATTGTGGTTGAATGGTGCTGCAATCTCTAAGTCAAAGTCTATTAGGTTGAAAAGTAAAAACTTGCAATTAAGGTGGAAATTTTCAAGTCCATTGTGGTGGTAATTCTCAATGAGAAGAATAAGCCTAACTGTATGATTTATTTGATATGTTATGCTTTCTAATTTAAAATACCCATCAGTGAATGGATCACTGCCAATTTTTTATTTTAAGTATCATAAGCAGAGAATATAATTGGATACATAAAGTAAAGATGGTTTAAGAAGACAATTTTATCTTGTTACTTTTGGTATTAAACTAAAGATGATCAGGCATTTCCCTTCTTAGATTTATATTTTAATAGTGTGGTGCTTATGAACCAAGACTGGTTTTAAATAGATATTATTAAAGATTTTTATAAAAAAGTAAAGTAGGGGGCCTTCCTAGTGGCACAAGGGGTTAAGATGCAACCTATGAAGCTGTCTGCAGCCACTGCAGCATGAGTTTGATCCCTGGCCACGGAGCTACTCACATGGTGAGGCAGACCTCTCCTGACTCACCTGCTGCTCCCCTCAGCAATGTATTTCAGTCAGTCTGCCTGTTCTGTTCCCCAGTTTGTCTCTGGTGAATCCTCTCACCCCCCACACCTCTGGCCTGTACCCCAGCTCTATGCATAAATAAATAAATCTTTTTTTTAAAGTAGGACTCTTTTAGAAATTAGTATTTAAAAACCTATTTAACTATGCAAAGTTAGACATTTGTATTGAAAATATTTGAAGAACTTAAAACAAAGTGTTCTGAAGCAGATAATATTAAAATCTTTTGGTTGCAAGTCACAGAAAGTCCAATGAGTTTAGGGAATTTTTTTTTTTAAATTAGAAGAAATTGCTTATCAATTCATCCATCACGATGAAAGGATGAATTAATAAGCAAACCTTGAGAACAAGAGTGGAACTGGACTTCAGGAACAATTGGAACCAGGTGCTTGGGTGCTTTTATGTTCATTTGGCTTTTTCTTGCCTATAGCTGACTGATTTCCTCCACAGGCTAGGGAACAAATGGTTCCTGAATTTCACAGTTGTAATTTCTGTCCCCGAAAGGGACTTTGTATATCTGAGTCAGTTATAAGCCCCTCAGAGAAGGATTCTGATTGGCCCCACTTTGTTCAGTTATAGCATCCCCCTGAACTGGCTTGATATCAAAGGTGGCAATTCCTGCCTATTGGAGTTAGAGAGGAAGAGTTTCCAAGAGAAGGCAGAGGGCCTGGACAGGTAATATAGAGCTAGTGTCTAGCTCAGTGTCCATGTGTCCTATTTTGTTGAAGAAGCAGTTTACTGGGTAAAGCATCTGTAGCTTTTGTTATTCTCAGATCTCGGATTTCACATAGGTAAATACTCTATTGGAGAAATAGTTGATTTTTTAAGCTTGTGTGTTTATATTGGGACATTGAAAAAGATAAGAGAAGGAAATTGGCTTGAAAATGAAATGAATGGGGCCTCCCCAGTGGCACAGTGCTGGTCTGCAAAGCTGCCCACAGCCTCTGCAGCGCCAATTTGATCCCTGGCAGCTGGCGAGGGTCCCACATGGCATGACAGACCTCTCCTACCGCGCCCACTGCTCCCCTCGGCAGTGTATTTCGTCAGTCTGTCTGTTCTGTTCCCCGCTCTGGCTCTGGTGGATTCTATCACCCTCCTCTCTCACAGTGCTTCTGACTGT